CCCCCTATTTTTTAGGTGGTGGCATTTCAAACACTCTAAGAATATTTTTTCATTTAATCTATAAAATTCATTAAAAAATCTAATAGTTTATTTCAGATTGTGTCTATTCTATGGGAATTATCTCTCCAAAGGGCAGACTATTCATCACGTATAGTAACAGTGCTTAATGAAAATGAAATTATGCTTGAGAGAACTTTGTGTGCACTAAGCTGGTGAATATACAGTAAATTACATCAAAACTCCAACCCTTCGTTCCCCTTCAATTATTCTCAGTAGGTGGATAGTCCAAAGAAAAGTCTTTGCCAAGGCTGGTAACATGTTTTCACTTTGTACAGGGTACTGGCTGCCGAGCTACAAATTAAAAATATCCTGGGCAACTGGACTTCATCTGGCTGTCATGTATGGACATCTGGAGAGTCTTTTGGTCCTCCTCAATCACAAAGCTACAATCAACTGCCGGCCCAATGGAAAAGCTGCGATCCACATAGCCTGTGAAATGGCAAACCTTGAGTGTCTGAAGATCCTTTGCAACCACGGAGCTAAGCTGAACTGCTTTTCGATGAGTGGGCAGGCACCCTTGCACTTCTGTACGACACGAGCCTCCATGCCTTGTGCCCAGCAGCTGATCTGGAGAGGTAAGGTAAAGCTCTGGAGTGTCTCTCATGGGACAGCCAGAGATGATGGGCATGGTCCGGTTTTCTCGTGGGAAACAATTTCTCAAAGTTCATGTGTATTTATCCCTTTTGTTCACAGGTGACTTATGTCTTCATCTCAGGCTCCTTTTTCCCATCTCTTTGATCTGAGACAGTTTTTACCATTCTGTTTCCTCACCCCATCTGTCTTTCCCTTTCCCTGGCCACAGATCCTTACTCCAAGATTGTGTCCCAGTGTGGGGCCTCTAGCTCACTGCCCAATCAGTCCATCAGCAGAAGAGCTCCTCTGAATCAAGGAGTTTCTATTTCTCTTGGGGTTTTTTATGTCTCCTTCATCTAGGTTTATTATTGAGCTATTTTCACATGAATGGACACTTCTCTTATTGTCTTTCTTGCTTGAATTTTCTTGATCTCAGTAAAATTCTTCTAACCACTTATTTTTTAGATTTGGCCTTGAAAAACTGGATGCAGTTTTTCATACTATCGCTTCATTTGTCAGCAGCCAAACTCCTGCATCTATGCAGTCCTTGGAGAGAAAAAAAGGCTATTATATAAGATTTTTGCTTTCCTGAAATAAGATATGTTACGCTGATGGTTATCTGTAACAAATGAAGCTATGCATAGATATAATTCCTCCATAAATATATTTGTCAGACATTATTTGCTTAACAATAGTGGTACAGCAAAATCAGGCAGTTCAAGTATTTAGTTACAAACTAAAGAAAGACTCACCTATTTAGCACACTCTGCTATGGCAAATACAAATGCTTTTGGGGCTTTTTCTACATGTATTGTGTTATTGAGGGCTTATCCTGATATACAGAGCCAACTATGCTTTGTGGGCAAGGCAATCTTCAGTCATAAATGAACAACATTACTTCTGCTGGAGAAAATACATATTATTGTGTTTGGTAGAAAGGAAAATAAATGCTGCCAGTTGTATCCTGCCCAAAGCAAACAGTCCTGACAGCAGGAGTTGAATTTGCTACGATAGGAAAGCTTAAAAGTCAAATGTACTCTTATGAAATACATCATAGAATGAATGCAAGTGAAAGGATGTATTCTGTAGGCTTTCTCCAGCCACCCATCCACAACAGTATAATAGTACTTTACAAGCCACCCTTCCTCCCAAAGCACACAGTAAACTCAAATCTCCATATGAGCTAAGTGTTGGGACCTCAAATAAGTTGGGAAAGGTCTGGAGCAAAACATATCAGGTGTGCGCATTCACGCAGCAGCCCCTCCCCCAGCAGCCAAAGCCAGGGTTCCTTTTGCCCCGGTACCAAAGTTCCCAGGGTGCATCTTCCACCTGCCACCTCCACTCAGTGGTGTCACACGAGATGCACTCAGATCATTGCTGTTTGACCCCGTCTGGCTGGGGCGATCGCCAGGCAAGCAGTGCTGACCCCGTGTTCAGTTACCACCTGGAACTCAAACTGCCGATGCTCTCTCAGGGACATCGAACACGACTAACACTCGACATGGCTTGACAACATTAACACTCAAGTTTTCCAGCTCAGAGGTAGTTTCTGACTCTGCAGGAATTCCTCCCTGATAATCTTCACACCTCGATCTTAGTTGTGAGGGGCCGGGGCGGCCTCTGTGGTCGGCAGATGGTGCTGTTGCTTCAGCTGCAGCAGCCGCTGGGCACAAGCGGGGCGGTCGGACACGATCCTTTCTCCTACAGTTTTTAATTTATAGGAAAAAGCATTTTACACAGAGATTTGGGCCTGCTGCTGAGCCAAAATAGAATGCTCAGACAAGGTCTTCTTCCAGGTCTGGAGCTGGATCCAAGAATCTGAAATTACTCCCTGGGGGCTTAAGAGATGAACAATCCATGATACTTGCATTTTCATGTGTGTCTTTCATGCCAGTTACCCACCCTGACCTTCTCCTTGGGAATGAGGGCTCAGTCAGAGAGATGGCCAAACGAGCGTTTCATTACCTTATTTTTTTTTCCCCCCCATCATCTTTTGTTGGCAGGAGCAAATGTGAACATAAGAACAAACAACAAAGATGAGGAGACTCCTCTGCACGTCGTTGCGCGTTTGGGTGTCCCAGAGCTCGTGGCCTTTTACGTGGAACAAGGAGCACACATTGATGCTCTCAATGCCTACATGGAGACTCCCCTGGCCTGTGCAACCTATTGGGCCCTTCACTATAAGGATCAGATATACAGCCAGGATCACCACCTCATCTGTCGGATGCTCTTAGACTATAAAGCTGAAGTGAATGCTCGTGATGAGGATTTCAAATCACCGCTCCACAAAGCTGCCTGGAACTGTGATCATGTCCTTCTGCATATGCTGCTGGAGGCAGGAGCAGAAGCAAATATCATGGATGTCAATGGCTGTGCACCCCTACAGTATATCATAAAAGTGACATCTGTGCGGCCAGCTGCTCAGCCAGACGTCTGCTACCAGCTGCTACTGAATCATGGAGCAGCTAGGATATATCCTCTGCAATTCCACAAGGTTAAGGATGCCTTTGTACACTAGCGATATGGAGAAAGGTGATGTCTTGAACAGGAATGGGATGAGAGATACAAACTTCAGGGTTTGGTGGTATCTGGATTTGCTGGAGTCCTGTCAGTGTGGGTCCAGAATGCCTGAAACATTGTGAGCTCACCTATTATGAGAGTGGTAGGATTTAACTGAAATTAAATTACAGTTGCCCATAGCGGAAACCAGATGCAGATCCCATTTTTGCTCTTAACCAACCTGAAATGCTAAACTCTAAATGCTGGTTCAAGCCTAATTTTTCCAGAGCAGATTCACCTTCTCATTTCAGAAAACCTATATCCTTTTGTCAAACCTGGCTTCGTACAAGCTTAACTGAGTTATACAAAATGCATATTTCATGGTCTCCACCAAAGATTAGAGATGAAACAACTTGATTCAGTTTGTCACATCTGACCTTTAAAAATCTATTCAAGTCTATTCAAAATTAAATACATCTCAATAAAGCTTTGGATTATTCCCAGGAAACGTGATAATTAAAGGGAAATGCTGGCCCTGAGCTCATAGCTGATTAAAAAAACAGTAAAAAATTACAGGATCTCTCCTGGAAAAGTGTTAAATGTCTGCAAAACTCAAGGCAGTGACAGAAGCACCTGACAGTCTTAATATACCAGACAGCCAAGTAAGTGTGCTGTAGTCAGGACTTATTCTCTCTCACTAATGCTCTGAGCAACATTTTGCGGTTCCTCCACAAAGCTTTAACAAGCCAAGGAACCAGAAGCCTTTGAATAAAATGCCAAACTTCTGGTTGTGCCTTCTTGAGCCCAGGATGAGTGGGTCCTATCTGTAACAGCACAATGCTCTCCTGCAGCTCATTTGAAAGCCAGGTCTGGGATCTCCTCTTCCTGCCTCTGCCTTTCTCCTATTGCATGAATTGTGTGTCTCTTCCAAACCAACATTTGCCCATCTATAAAAAATGTAGGATGATATTTATCCCAGAGGGATGTTCTACAGTTTTGTTTGTGAAACCTGGTGACTCTGTGGGACAAAACTGAGTGAATGAAAAGTGTGATTCCCTATGGGTGAGTGGCAATAGACTTCGGACTTTTTCCTCACTGAGCTAAAGTTACTGACCAGAAGAGTTGTTTAAGGGGCCTTGTGTGGCTTGAAAATCTTACTTGTGACCTGTGTTATCTCCTGGTCTTCTTTGAAATTTTGCTGTAGCAATGCATTTTTGATTCATATGAAGGGATTTTATTGTCTTCCTGTGCTGCATGACCTGGAGCAAGGACTTTGTGCATGGCTTTGCCTTGTGTCAAGTCACTCAACCCAACTATGAACAAGTCATCTCTAGATTTGGGTGCTAAAGCCCACCCCAGTTAGACTGCTTCAGAGATCTAAACCAGTACTTCTGTATGGTGTTAAACTGGGATATGCACACCTCCACTGGGGACTAGCCTGGGGTTTCTTGCTGAACTTGTGCTGAATAGTGTAGATGGGCCTTGTGTCTTTGCATCTCCCAGCCTTATCCTCTCATAATCCTTTGGCCATGTCTGTCTCAGTTTGTTACACAGTGCCAAACGTCCAAGCTATCCCCAGCTTCTTGGTGGTACTCATGGTCTCCATGCATCCTGCCTGCAGGTGCTACAAGCCTGTCATTCCCACCCTAGAGCTGTGGAGGTTGTTGTCAATTCCTATGAACATATCAAATGGACATCGAAGTGGAAAGCAGCCATACCGGAGGATGTCTTTGAGGTAAGCTCTCAGTGATTTGTAGCTGAGTAAAATCCAAGCTCATTCTTTGCATAACCCCTATCTGAACGCAGGAAGAAATAAAGCTTTTGAAAGAGAAGAACATCTCAGAGGATTTGGGACTTCCCCATTTAATATCACTCATTTGACAAACACATATCACTCACTGAAAAAAAAGGACATATTTTTGAGAAGTTTTCACTGCAATATTATCCTCTGGAGGACCCGTTGTCAGTGGTGCTGCAGAAGCTCAGATGTCCCTGTATTCATTAAGTGAAAAGATTCTGTCTGTGTTGGTGTTTCTTCAGGTTTGTCAACAGGTATATTTATATATTCAAGTCAGCAAATGTTTTTGAAGTGCCATATAATATGGGTATGACTAGCTTTCTTTAGTTTCTGTTGCATGGGTCAGGTTTCTGCAAACAGGATGGGTTAGCTGAAAATGCAAGGGAGAATTTAGGTGAAAAATAAGTAATTAAAAGAGGAAAAATGTGTCGAGGCAAAATTGTGGGACAAGTTACATACTTTGACATAATTATCCCTTTAATTCAGAAATCCTCATAGTCCAAATACTCCAGTTTACAAATAGTGTTGAAACGCAGCAATATCTGCTATATATTGTCAGCAGGTTTAGCGAACTCCATCTGTATTATAAAGCAGAGTTATATTGCCAGAGAACCTGTGAGACTTTGTTGGGGTCAGATTTGTTCATTTAAAAAAAAAAATGGTGAAAACAAACTTAAAAGTTAAAGGTCTTTTTTCACTTTAATAACAGCAGAAACAACAACAATGATAATAATAGTAAAAATTTTTCTTCAAACAAAAATTTTAATCTGAAATTTTGGGACATTCTTATTTGAAAAAGGTCACAGTCGCTCTATTTCTTTGTTGAGGTCTTAATTTTTGCTGTCAAAGCTGAATTTAACATGAAAGTGAAGGAAAACTTTTGTTGACACAAATACATACTTTATTGTACATAAAGCATAACCTGAAAATACTTGTAACCAGATCTATCAAGTAACAAGATTATAAAATAAGGTCAAGTCTCATGTAGTCACATGTATCTACCATTTGCTTTGGGACTTTTTGACATTATTTGTAAGCATCTGCACTTTTCTGCTCATGGGGACGCAATTTCATTTATGCTAGAAGTCCACCAGAGCAATGAGTAAGACCAAAACTACTTTGCTGTTCACAGTCCCAGTGAACTCATGGGTGCCACTGGCATTGTGGTGCCTCACTGCCCCGTGGTGAGGTTTAGTGGATTAGCTTACCCATGTGCTCTGACCCTGGGTGGGGTGCAGGGTCTCTTCAGTCCAGGACTTACACCACAGAGGAACCCGCACCTCAAACTGATGGATAGAAGGCATACCAGACGTGAAGACCAAACCTAAATATTTCATCACTGTCTTTCACTTAACACTAAATATTTGAGGCAAGCATAAGAATTTTGTGCAGGTATTTTGGCTAAACAAAGTCCCTGGTGCTTGATGTGCCTCCAAGGGACAAGGTGGCAGTCTGTGCTTTTGACCTTGTTCTGCCAAGGGCTACATGTGGGCAGTGGAATAGGGAGGAAGAAAACACCCTCATTGCCCTAAAATACACTTGTTTGTTTTTTTTTTTTACAGCGGCACCAGGATTTCTATGACTCTCTGTTCACTGTGTGCAGCAATTCACCACGGTCACTCATGCATTTATGCAGGTGTGCAATTCGGGCAATATTGTCAGAAAGGTGCCATCGAGGAGTCCCCTTGCTCTCCATCCCTCTGTCCGTGAAGAAGTACTTGCTGCTGGAACCAGAAGGAATCATCTACTGAGCTTCCACAGAGCAGGCACTGGTTTCTCCCTTCAGGGACCCATATGCCTCTGCGGGGTGCTGGAGCTCCAGGCACAGCACAGCCCTTTGCATGTGTCCATTTGCAGGACAGCCTGAAGCTGGGCTAGGATTTACCAGCTCTCCTTGGAGCTGCTCTCTTTCCCTACCCCAAGAAATCACAGCTGCAGCTGCAGTTTGCACTGGGGAGGCAGAGCTGGAAAGGCCCCCTGCTGCAAACACACGTGGGCACATATGGCCATGCTTTGTTCAGCCTAGGTTTAACGATGCTGCTGCTTCCTTCAGTATTTATTCCACTGCCTGCTAGATAGCATTAGATTCAATCTGAACAACCTTTGATACTGTTTCACTATAATTTTCTTCAGCTGTTGTTTTGGGAGTAAAAGAATGGATCCTGCCAAAAAAATAGGTCATTTATTAGAGTCACAGAAATGTTTTCCCAGAAAAAATGGGCAAAGTGCCTCAAATTGTGACCACAGACAGTCTTTCAGTAGTTTCTGTATATTCCTGTTGATTGACTCTCAATTCAGTGTTAGTTCACTGTTCACTACACCTGTCTATTTCTTATAAAGCTTTGTCATAATTATATATCCTTTTTAATTGTAAGAAATTTTTCCTTTAACAATCACAGTAGGTAAACAGGATTGAATTGTTCAGCCCTGGAATTTTTGTACTTTTATATTCTAGCCCAGGTAGCTTTTAGCACGTGCTGTCTCTGTTTACATGCCCATTGTGACCGATGACAAATTCATATCCTGATGTCAAGAAAGCCAGGTAAAAAAGACTTGCCCCTGCAACCTGCACAGTTATTCTTATGCCCATCCCTATATTCTCAGGATGGTGTTGGATGTTATCTGGGAAGCATATGAACCCTTCTCTTCATTGACTATAAAATGAACCAAGCCTGCTAGCACCTCAGTTTTGGCAGCTAAGTGCAGGTGAGAGGAATCCCACCTTAACCAAAAGGTGTTTTGAAGATGAAGATATGTTTGCTGGGCTGTTACAGACCTACCAATCCCCCTGATCTGAAGATCCCATGCTTTTGGACCTGACAACACTGATTTCCTTTACTTCTGGCTGAGCTGCTTTCTCCAGTCCAGAAGGATGAAATGCAGGGCAGTGACATTTGCACAGCAAGTATCCCACAGCAAGGGCAAGTGTGTGATCTGACCTACAGGTAAAACCCATTTTTCTTCCCTTTTTTAGTCTGATGCAATCCATCTGGGCTGCTTCATTTTTTTTAGATCCAGACAATTCTGGACTCTGTGAAAAGGGAGGTGACCTGTGCCCACCACCAGGAGCCAGTAACTCCTGACTTCTCATTGCATCTCTGACTGTGAAGCTGTCAGTCCTCATTGCTATAACTATGTCTTTGCAAGAAAGGCCCCGCCAAACAGGGGCAGCCAAGCTGTTCAAGTGTCTCTGTGTCTCATAAAACGGCAATAACAGCATTTGAAGAAATGTGCAGATTATTTAGTGTTACAAATCGCTTCTCTTTCCTTTCATCTCAGTTTTCATTAATTAAAGCTTGTATGCTGTGTTAGGAGAGCATCCAATTCATGAGTCTGTCTGTGTTTAGCTAGATAGCAATGAAGATTGCTATTTAGCAGTTTCTAATTCCAATAAGGAATTTCAAAGCCAACACAGACGATGTGTAAATGCTTTCTTCTGTGGATAAAATTGTAATATAGGTCCCTGTACTTCAATAAACTGGTAAGAGATTTCCATACTGCTGCAGAGATATCTCTATCAGAGACATTACAGGGCAGAATGATCAGCATCTGGGGCAGGTTGTCTATAGAAAAATCTGCTTGAGCTACCTCCAGGTCAGTGGGGTCCAATGAGTTCTGCACTGAGAAAAACCAGAGAATTTGAATGGATGAAAAAGAGTAGGTTATCTAAACCCACTGCTCTTCTAGGTGATGTATCTATCTAAGTCAGGCGTGAGGAAGAGGATTGTCCAACCGGTCAGGGCAAGAAAACATTTGTTGCTCTCTAACAGTCTGACAATGGGAAAGATGGGCAGTCCAGAAGAGACGGATGGAGGTATATGATTTTATTGGGAATGCATCCGCACACTGGCTGCTTCTGAAAGCAAAATTCTGCCTCTGGAAGAGAGAGGTTTAAGGCAGAACAATAGCAGTGTTTTCTGACCTGTCGTAGCCAGGACTCTCTTGCTGAGAGGGAAATAAAAAGGCTGTCACCAGTGTTCCTACATTCCCTCTGATCCTCCCCTGCTGTAGTGAACATGCTTAATTTTTATTCTGTGAGCACCCAGGCTCACTTCCAAGCTTTGTACCAAGCAGGTGCCAGATTATAGCCATTGTGGGATCTGACAGGGAGCACAGTGGGATCAGTCTGATTATAGTCATAGGAATTTGCAAGCTGTTAAAAACACTGGAGAATATCCCAGTCACAGAAAAAATTGACCTGATTGATGCACTTTAATTGGTTTTGTTGTTGAAGTTAGGAAGACCAAGAGTAAGTGAACCTTAGTAGTTGTTACTTTTTAGCATTTTTTTTTCCTCACTTGCTGTACTGTATTCCTACACACTGGATGGAGCAGCTCATGTGAGGAGTGGGAGTATCTGATATTAAGATCATATTTTATTAAATTCAGGGGATGAACAGTCTTATTATTCTGACTTAGTGGAGATGTCTTGAAATTTCATACTGCCATATAATTCCTGATCATGGTTTTATATTTTCAAAGCTGCATTAGATTGGATGGCTGCACATGGAAATAATGAGAGACCTCTACACCACAAGTTTGAGCATAATCATGACCTAAAAGGACAGAAAAATGTTTTCAGGGTTGTTTGGTATCTTCTATGAAATGACAAGACTGCTTTTTGCCATTGGGTTTCCCAGTAGAGATGTAGCCGTTTTTGAAACATTTCCACTGCATTCCACAACCTATTAGAATATTTAAAGCACAGATGGGCACAAAGAATGAACTACCCTTTCCCATTGGCAGCTCTTTCCCACAGCTCTCTTAATGACTTCTCAATGGATAGCAGTGAGATTCTAGAGTTTGGTTCTCATGCTTTTTTGGGAGGTGTTCTCAAGCCACATGCATTGCAGACAAAAAAATTACCCCTTCTATGAGCATAGGGACACTCTGTATGTATTTGTGGGCCAGTGCAGAGCCATAACTCAGCTGCTCATGGAAATACGGACATCATCTTAGTAAAGTGCTCTTGCAATAATTTTAAACTTAGTCCCTGATGCCTGATTGGATTCAGGTTGACTCAAAACTCCAATAATTTATCTGAAGTCCCTAAGAGAAACTGTAGTCTAACAGCCTTCAGGACTGTATTTCCCTGCAAAAGCTTTAAAGGTCTATTCATACTTAAAACAGAGTAGATACTAGGACAATGAGTCCAAAAGAAGTTGGCTGATTTAGTTCTCCAACACTGCTGCCTGTCCTGCCAACACGAAGAGTATCCAGAGCCTGCAGGACATCCGAAGAGGAAGCAGTAAATGTTGACCAGTTCCTGCTCAGCCTTCAGCCAACATTTTTAAAACTTTGACTATTTGTCCTTGAGACAGTCTAGGTTCCCAGTGCTGCTGTTGGCAGTGATATTAAGACCAGGAACGTTGCATAAGGCTGAAAGATGTGCTAAGTAGGTCTTCACTCCAGAAAAGGGGCTTTGGATAAGTATCAACAACTGTTCCACATACAGAGTGGTGCTAGAATGTGATGCCAGTTTTGTCAATATGCTCATTACCTGTACTTAAAAATCAGTGTCACCCACCTCTGCTCCAAAAACAAGCTTCCTGATCAGAATGGCTGAATGGTAGCAATACTTAGCCTCAGAACTTTCAGCACAAGGGGATGCTGTTTTCACATCCCTTACTTTTCTCATAATGGACTGCATGAATATGAGTTTGCCTTATAAAGAGGAAAAGGTTCAAAGCCCAAATCAAAATATAGGGCATTGGGCCACTTGGCACAAGCAACCAGGACTTCATATCTTTCTGTCCTTAGTATTTGAAAAGCCATCAGAGAAAGGGGTTGGGTTGTCTGTGACCCTTTTCATGCTGTTCTATGGCACTGTCACTAGAGCTCTGTGGAGGGTGATGAGGCAGTCTGCATCATCTTGTGAGGATTTGGACCAAACCTCGTGACTACATGAAAGCAGAATGGTGTTGAAATACCCATTTAGATTCTGGCAGCTCTGCATGGGTCTGTGCACACACTGGCAGGTGTGAGAGACCTGCAGAGATCCCAGTCAAAACCTTTGACCTGGTTTCCATTGGAGTTTTCAACCCAAATCAAGGTATCACAGCTGAAACAAATAAGTTCCCAGAAGTGTTTTGGCATCAATGAAATTTTACTTATTCACAGCCACTTACTGTCTTGGAAAAACATTTCCTATCTTTCCATGGGACAATATCTTACAGCCTATACACCGATTTTGACAGAATCACGTTAACTGTTGTGATTATGAATTTATATAAACCTCCCAGGCTGAGCAAGAGTGACTATTTTTGTAAAATGTCAGGAACACAAATATTAAGCAGCAGGGGAAAAGTTCTGGTCGGCCATGAAAGGTGGCAGCTTTACTTTTAGCTGCAAGCACTGCTTGCAATCAATTAAAATGTTCACAGGGGCTCAGCCCATTCGTATTTGAGGACCGTCCTTTGAAAGCACGTTAATGCTTCTGGCAGCAGATTTTGCTCATGGGACAAATATCTTTCAATTAAACATACAAGAGTTCAGTCTTCAAGACTGAAAGGAAGATTGAAACAGTTTGGGGTGGCCTATACTATTATGTACCTTTATTAAACTCTGAGAAGCCAAAGAGGCATGACAGGTTTTCAGGGTGCTGGAAGGTTTGCAGGGCTCTTGAAGGGCCGCTGTTGCTTTTCTGAAACACTACAAGATACAGATGGGTCAGACACAGCAATATTTCCATTTGCTTGCAGGATATGGCAGTAGAATTTCCCTGTAATCCCTAGGGTTTGCACTTCTACTAAATGACAGTGCAGAACATGCTATTAGCAGAGATGCCATAGCCTAGCTAGCGTCTGACACCTTAACCTCCCCAAGAATTATATTAAAGTAGTGAAAAGATCCACCACAGGCTCCATTTGTAGAACGGCAGGGACCTCTGGTACAGCAGACAAGTGGGTCAGAAAAGATTGCTATATACAGCAACTGTCAGATGAAATCAGTTGGCTGCTCAGAAATTTGTTTCTTACTATTTCTGCAAATGCATCTCAAGCTTCCTAAGACACAAAGTGGAAAGAGATGATGAATATCATGCATTCCAATGACATGTTTGATTTTAATACACAGTTAACATTTTCTTAGCATGTGGCAGCTGTGTGTTGACCTTTACCTTGCACAGGCACCCTATGGAGTGCTGCTAAATTACAATTAAGGCATTTGAAATGAGGACATCAGGGCATGTGATGATTTTTACACCACTGATGAACCGTTCAGTTCTGTTCTTTCAAGCTGGCGCTGACTAGCAATGCTGGTATCAGCCTTTTGCCTTGTGCCAGAATCATACCATGCTTTAGTTTTGTAACAGTGCAGTTGATGTGGCTGCTCAGGCTGTTGATACTGCAATTGGCACGGAGTTATTTTATGTCAGTAGTGTCAGTGAGTCATTTCATGTCCATGTGGAGTTGCACTGTCTCAGTATAGCTGTAGGCTTGCTGGTTATTTGTGGGAAGGAAGGGGTTTGAATCCAGACAATTCAGGTTGAGAATAGGGATCTTGAATGTTATTATAGCACAAGACTCCATTTGGTCACAGTCAGTGCTCCTGTATGCCCTTCCCCCTCAGGCACACTCAAAGGCCTCTCCCTGGCATGAAGGATTCATAAGCCACCAGCGTGGGCTGCAGACCCTCTGTGGAGAGCAGCTTCCCGCTGCAGTGACTGCAAGTTCAAGGCAAACCCAAGCATTTTCTCCCACACTTGTCCTCAGGGGTAGCTGAGGACTCTCAGGGGAACCTTAACAATGGGCAAATACACAGATGCATATACAACCCCAGGCAGACATGTGGCATTCACAAGCTTGGATGGAGGCATCCAAGAGACCCTGACAGAGCTGCAGACAGCTGGATCACAGAGGTCTCTGTAACCCATCTCTCCCCCTCTTTTCTTTCCAGCTTTTTGAAGCTCCACTGGTACCTGACATGTTGTGCTGTGGCCATCATGGTCCTGTCTCACGGGAAGCACCTCCGTGCTTCACAGACGTACCTGAGTTACACACCTTGGTGTCCCTTTAAGCTTTGACAGGGGTTGCATCCTGCCTGTAGAAGATCAAGAAGGAGGACTCCTTTATCAGCTGACTGGGGCACACTATCCTCTGTTGCCTGGACATGCTGTGAGTGTGAGAGGGTTTGATATCCAATGGCACTGAGTTCTATCTGATTGCTGGCACCAGCTTGAGCACAGGGAGAGTTGCCCTTTCCAACCTGGGGCAGGGAGAGCGGCAGAGAGGCAGCCCTGGCTGCCCTTCAGTTCCAGGTGACCTGGGTGCACTGGTGAGATGGTAGGGAAGTGGCTCCAGGGAGGCAGGAGCAAACTGCAGGCAGCACCTGGAACAGACTTAAATATGGGCTTGGACTTTGACACAGCTCCTTCCAGCAGCCTGGAAAGGGAGGGAGAGCAGTGGCATGACCAGCCTGGGCGGCTCTCGCTGACTCGACATAAACATGTTTTTAAGCTCCTGGTGCAGCCAGCAGGGAACAAACTGTCCCCGTGAATTCCCTGCCTCTGGCTCGGGAGGCTGCCAGAACAACGCCCAGAGGCACCACTGCTTCCCGTGGCCCCCAGTCCCGGCTGAAGCAGGCTGTGCTGTACACTCAGTGTTTGTCCTTATAAAAAGAAAGGGAAAATAAATGGATGGAAAGCTGTAAGCAGAACAAAAGATCCAGCAGCTAGGAACTGAACAGCAGCTATGCATTTCCTGAAGGGTATTTTTAAGGTTTATAATCGTTCCCTTCTTATTTACAGTGCTGGTTTTTGTCCTTTCATCTAACACTAGCTGCCAGTCTGCCCTCTGTTTAAACCAAGCTATTCATGTCCAAGTGTCTGGAGCTCCACTGACTATGGGAGGCAAGCTTTGCTTTTTCAGGCTCCCAGCCCAAAACAGCTGGAATAATCTTCCAGCCATACTGAAGCAGGCCCTCACATTGTTTGGGGTTTGGACAATCTTAATCCTTTTTTTTTTCAAAAAAAGCCTCAGCTGTGTGAAATGAGCACAAGCTGTGGCTAGTCACTGTGGTGTGCTATTAAAGAGTCCTGTCCTTCTGTCTCCAGATATGGGCTAAACCCCTTTATCCCAGCTGGGCTCTAGGTGACCAGGGACACAAGGACAAACTGCCCACTTTGAAGAACAGGGTCACATCTATACCTCAGAGACAATGAGAACTCTGCACCTAGACTTCCCCAGCATGAACCTAGGCTTTTGGTCTCACCTGACTTGAACAGAAAGGGTGAAAGCTAACCTCCTTCTGGTCTGGGGTGTTTGGGGCTCAAGGTTTTCCAGGGGCTGTACTGCATCAGATAAGGGGGATGGGCTGAAGCAAGAGCTGTCAGCCATTTCAGTGCATTTAAGTTTGCCATATGTGCATACACGTGTTTCTGTTCAACATACCTTGAAGGTCTAAATATATTTCACATAATTCTCTTCCTCCTCTATGTGTGGCACTTGATAAATTCCTCAGGTACAATGTGTGCCATCTTGCAGACCTCATGGGAGGTAATACAGTGAGGCCAGCCTCTTGTCTGGTCTTGCACTCTGAAGTAGTTAAAAATTAGTTTGCTTGCTGACTCCTAGAGACTTTCAGGGTTGTATGTGTCTCTTCTACAGATCAGGAGCTCAGATAAGCAGCTCAAACCATTTTGGCTTTGCCCACAATTCTCAAGTGTCAACAGGAAGCCTGTCACAAATTTCAGTGGACGAGGTGTGAGGTCTAAGGTTGAATTATTACTACTCTAATATCTATCATTTACATTGGTTGATTCCATGTTGATTCCACATTGGATTATATTCTTTTATCAATTGAAATTGTTATCATATATTAGAAACAAGTTACAGAAAAGAGCAGTGAATTACATCAGCAGTTCCAGACGTTTATAGACAACCACTGATTCATCACCTATATTCTGTATTCCATATCCTTACTCTATTTAGATAAGAACAACTGAATAATTGCTTCTGAATCTGTTATAACAACAAAAAAACCCTTCTATAAGTGAAATCTTACAATTTACACCAATATACTGCTATTTTTCTAGAAATGCGTACACTATTTTAAAACCCCAAACCTTCCACTGTTAACATACTTCAAAGAAATGCTGAAAAACATTTATTTTACCCTTTCATTGTCAACAGCTTTGCTGGAATCTTCTTCTGTTCTAAAGAAATGAAACAGCCCCCTTCTGAAACAGCATGCTGTTGAGAATAGACCTTCTCCCCCAAAACTCTCATTTCCCAAGGCAGTGGATGTTTTCATTCCTGAGAAGAAACTGGGAAGACCTACAGTTCTTTTCTGCTCTATTTGACAGCTACAGTGCAGATTTAAAGGAAAGACACATCCTCTCCCTTAACATCAATACTCACAGGTAAGGAATATCATTCTGCTGCAGAGCAAAGGAGAAGTCAAGGACAATTCATTGGAGAGGGATGAAAACATCTCTTTTGGGCAGCTCTGAATGCAAATCTCTGTAATATAATTTCCAAGGTATGCCTGTATCAATTTATGGCACTCCAGTGAATAGTTTTGCTGTTGTTCCAGCTGTTTGTACATGGATGTTGTCATTCAAAAGCTGGAAATATGTGAAAGCTGTTACGATTTTTTTTTTTTCAAGTGAACTGATCATCCAGTGGGCTCAAGAAATCATCAAAAGCTTTTGGAAGTGTGATATGCCTCTGAAGCACAGTTCCCATCCTTCAGAAGGTAGGCTCAGAGGATGCAGAGCCAGGCACCAGAGACTAGGTGCAGCAAGACTAGGAAGAAGAGAGGAACAGTAGGGCAAGGCCATGGAGGCAAAGCACAGGAAGGTATTTGGACCAGCAGAAGGCTTCTGGGCATCTACACAAATAACATGAATCTTGAAAACTTAAGAATGTCCCTGGTTAGAGTTTGAAAATGAAGCTTTCTTCATTGTGTATTTATGTTAAACCTGAGGCAAAGCTGATTAGAAGCAAGGGAAAGTTGTCCAGTGAGATCAGAAGGTTTTATAACAAGTCCTAACTAAGCAGAAAGAAGTGCTTTTGTGTCAACACAAACATGGTTTTATGCCTGAGCAAACAGCTTCCTGTGGTCTGTGAAGCAATGACACGTACCTGGTAATACTGAGAGTTGTCCAAACCAGCTGATCCACCCCTGCGTGAAGGTTGAATTCCACCAGTAATACCCTTTGTAAGCAGGGCCTTGACTCTGGGTCGCCAATACCCTTTGCAATGCACGTTTACTAACAGTGCTGCTTGGCACAGTGATTGGAGGAGAGGACAAGTAGCTCCGGTAGGTATTCCAGCCTGTTTCCCAGTTAGTTGGTTAAAAATCAACCAGGACTGTTGTGGGCAGTAAAGCTGCTAGGAAGAGAAAAACACTCGAAAAAAGAGCTTTCAGTGCATCTGATATGCCTTGTGGTATTTAACAATCAGCATCAGTTACAATTAGCTCTAATTTTCCATAAAAGTTCCACCAAGTAATTGGTATTTGGATGTCCTGGGGGTAGTAAGCATGGCTCAGAGCTCTCCAGCAGCACCACTGCCCTGTGGACTGCAGAGTGATGAGCCTCATGCTGTCTCCTATGGTCGTGTGACACTAGGACCAGCCCCAAACCCAGACAGATCAGCAATGCCAGTAATGACAAGCTGCACAGAGGCAGCTCCAGGCTGACACAGTTTGTGCCAGCAGCCAGTTCATCTGCAATGATCCCATTGGCATTTGCTGCAGGATAAATATTGTCTGGGATTTTCCATTATCTATCCACTCTGGCTAGCAATGACACAGCAGTGATGCCATTTTGAGCTCTGTGTTTCCAGTTTCCCACAAACACAAAAAACTAGTAAAGGAAACTGAGTCATTTACCTAAACATAAACTTTCACTGATATTTTAGAAACCCAGGAGTGTCCATAAAAGGTATTTGCGTGAGACTGGCAGGAATGACAACGGACCTGTGAAAGACCTCTGGTCTTCCAGAGTGAGAGATGAGAAACAGGCAGAGTACTTCAGGCTTCCTCATATAGCACCAGGTATCTATTTTTAGGTAAGTGAATTAGTTGGGAGTCAGCTCACATCTGATGCCATCTGAACACAGGTGCCTACATGTGCCCCAGATGCCTAGGGTCCCATTACAGTCTGTGGAATTCTGCCATTTAAGACAGGGTCACTACTCAGACACCAGAAACAGATGTCTGCTTCGGAGGAAGCTGATACTTTCTGGGGTCCTCTGGACATACTGACTGTGGTCATAGGGAACTTAGATACCCAACTCACATCTCAGCACACACACTGAGACCTGTACACGGTATCATGATAAGGTGTTGTACTTGATGTGCCAAATCTCATGCCAAGGTTCTTGGGTTTCAGACCTAGTCCACTACTGTGAGAAAGTACAGAAAGCCCAATCTATAAACAGTAATGAAAATAGTTTGGTGGTTTGTGGATTTTTTTTTTTTTTACTTGATTTTCTTATTTGAGTCTTGCAGACAGGGCGTATCTGGATTAATGTAACCTAAAGTATGCCTGTCCTAAACTAGAAACTCTCTGTTACCTTCCAGGAGGATGCTCTGAAGCCCCAAATAGTGGGATCGGTGGTCATTCCTTTGGCTGTATTTCCTGCATCACTGTTTTGTCTGGGTTTTCAAATGGACATCACTCCAGGAGGGCAGCATGAGGCTCATTCCTCGAGGCTGTCCCCCTCACACAGCAGGGAATCAGATAGGTCCTTTCTTTTCTTGCCTCTTCCTGCTAGGAACTGCAAAGCAAGAGAGTGACACAGGGAAATCTGTGCTAATTCTACATGGGTTAATTTGTTGCACTGTTTTGATTTTCTTTCATAGATGTGGAAGAAATATTGAGGAGAGTTTGTGAGAAGCAGCTCCTGATACCCCATACACATTTTTCTGCTTATATAAAAATCTTATATTATTGAGAGGTCTCAGGCTATTCTGAAAACCCAGGACTGTATTCCAGCCTCTTGCTTTGCCACCCGACACTCAAGACTGAGAGGAAGAATTAAGACTGCCCATGAAGTATTTCTGCCCTTTCCTCTCTTTGAGATGCATGGAGAGAAGAAGGACTGATTGAAGCTACCTACCTGCATGTCGTTTTTTTCTCTTTGATGACTGTGAGGAGGAGCAGCATTTGGCTAGGTACTGAGTCAGTCATTCTGTCTTGAATGTGAATGCAAGCACAGACATTCAAAGCCACCTTAGGGCCTCTAATACAGGATCAGGACATAGGCATCTAAAATTGTGTTGTCAGTTTTTCGGGAAATACAAACCCGAAGATGTTAACCCAGAAGTTTACCCCTTCCTCTTCACCGTCCCCACCTCCAAAAAGTAGCTGAGCCAAGGCAATCATGAACTGTCAAGTTCTACCTCCCATTTGCTAAAACTGCTCAAGAATTTAAGGGCAGAAAATTCTGGGGTATTATATCTGAGCTTCTTAAGTCATCGATTGCTACCATAAAGGGGAAAAAAAAATATTTTTCCATTCCAGTAGTGTTTCTTATCAAAGGTAGCAAAGCTTGTTTTGTAATAATGCTTTGGGAAGGACATTATTGCATGCTAAGGGCAAAGTCTAGTGGATTTAAAAACTTGGTTAAGTGATAGGAAAAAGATGATAATGAACAACTGCGTATGAAGGCTTCAGGGATATTAATCTGGATGTGTTCCCAAGGCACCAGTAACACAATCAGTGTACACTCTTTAGCTAATGATCTGGAAGATCAAACACAGGGTGCTTTGGCGTGGTTTCTGTTGACATGAGGAACCTGGCTGTGTAAGGTCCTGATCAGGGAGCAAAGGGCAAAAGTGCAACATCTGTTTACCTCCTGTGAAACCAGAACTGTTCAGCCGTGGGTAAACCCGCTCATGTCAGTGACCCCCTGATGCAGTAGCAGCAAGCCAGGCCCTGCACGGCTTTGCTGAACCAGGAGCTGGTGCGTGGCCTCTGTTACTCACTGGGTTTGTGTGGGAGAAAGAAAAATATAACCCCATTTCTCCTTCTGGACTGCTGGAGCTTGGCTGGAACTCATAGCCTGTGCACAGCGAGCTGCGGAGAGACCTGGGCCTGCTGCGTCCACTTTTCAATGTGGAGGTGCACAGCAGCTTGGGTACATCCCGCTGCACTGCAACATCCTGGCTCTTGAGCCTGCCATGGGCAAGGTACAGAATGCATGTGTATGTACTTCTGCTTGGAAAAACCTGAGGGGAAATGTGCTGTCTCTAGAGACTGCAGGACAGTGAAAACACAATGGGTATTTCTGTAGTTGGTTCCTTTTGTTTTCCACAGAAGTTTATTGAAGTCCCTGGTGTACTTTAGTTTTGGGTTGTTTGTCCCACCACACCTGGCATACTGATATATGTCAGAGTGGTACATTTCTGAAAATGCAAAAATTATACACCACCTGATCTGCTTCTGTGGCATTACAATTAGAAAAACCTTAAGGTAAAGTCCACTTTTACGAGAAAGCAGACTCAGCACACAAGGCTGTCACTTATAGGCTTACTGCCAGGCACCCAGAGTCAGGTTGTTTTTCACCTCTACTCTTCTAGGTAAAGCATACATGCATTTTTAGTTACTCTATCTTCTTAAAATTAAGGAAAATGGAGGATGGTCCCAGGCCAACACAAGTCTGCTAAAGTACCAGTTGTACAGAACTATTCTATCATGTCACAGTTTGATCCATCTGGTCACTACTGTTTTCTTACTTTACAGCTATTAAGAGTCAGCTGTCCCATTGCTTCAGAGCTGAAAGACAGGTTTCCATTTAGTCTGTGGGAAAACTTATTTGTTAAATACAGACTCAATGTGGATGCCTTTTTTATATAAAACTAAAACTAGTGGTGAATTTTCATATTCTTTAGAGCTGAACAAAACATAACTACTTAAGAGCACTGATGAAGGATTCCCAGTTCTCATCTCTGAAGCTGGATACTGTCCTAATCAGAAAGAGTGATGCATAAGGTGATGCACTAATTTTAGGCAGAATGTAACCTTGTAACAGACAAAATATTAACCATAAGCAGATCAGTTTCAGTGTTTTCTCTTCCCGTTGTATCTGATACAATTGTTTTGCTCAACTCGATTTTATAAGACTTCAAAAAGGGCCTTGTCTGGGGCCCCCAGGCTGCACTATGATCTGAGAAGTGCTCGTTGCACTAGTCTTCTTAGAAAAGAAAGATTCTAGACAACCATTGATTGAAAAGATTTTATTATAAAATTATTTCAACATCTACATCCAGGTAAAAGACTGAAAACTACAGCTCTACTTTCAGAATAAAAATTCAGTGAATGCTGGAAAAGATGCTGTATTATCTAGGTAGACAGACCTAATTCATAATACTGCAGAGATTCCACGTGGGTTCCTTAAGTGCTATAGACACCTCTGTCTGCATCATGAATGTGTTGTGCAGCTTCACTCTGCAAACAAAATTACAGACATTTCTGCAGCATCCATGTGCCTCAGCTGCTTTGAAACAGAAATTACAGCTCCTACCTGGAGCAGCTGCAGCTACGTTACAGGTGTACCATCATATCACAACTCATATTCAGGCATTACTGGGTGCAGACAGAAAGGTATAAATTGTGTTTACTTGACAACAGTAAATACCTAGGTATGTGTTTGTGACCTTGTATTCTCTACAAAATCAACAAATACTCAAATATATTATGGCAGTGAAGACAGCTTTTTCACACCTGTATACTCTACACAAAGATATTTCCTTTTTACAAACCATTTCATTCACTGAGCTGAGCTCAGATACATGATCTGGTCACCTTTGGTGACTGCAGCTTATTCACCAGGATAAAGACAGCCTAGATGCAGTACTAAAGTAATAATGCTCAGTAGTTACCACCAATACATATAAATTTAGTTTTTGAAAGAAATGAAACATATCAGACCACTATTTTTGATTGAAAAATCTATTCCAACAGGACTTCTAGAAAACAAAAGCAGTTCTATTCTTCTCTCCTTCCTATTAAAAACATTTTAGATTCACAGTAGAGTATGGAGTGGCTTTCTTTCCAATAAATACAAATCTGTTACAGACAACTCTCATACAACTGAGCAGGATGCTTTACTTTACTTGCAGCTCCTTGCAAAGGATCACATACACCTGAGATAATATGCTAATTAGTAAAAAAAGTTCAAGTAATATTATACAGCCCTGATGAACTTTAGACTGGCCATCTTGGCAATAGCTTAACACCTGTTGTTAAGTTTACTTTGCTTAC